TCTGTCTCCCTTCACTCTGCCTCTGCTCATCTTATTTGATGGTTATCAGATGAGAAAGGTGTAAATTGCTGCTCAGAGTCATCTCAGCAAATTCCCCAGCTCTGCTGTCTCTCCTTCATCTTTCAATCAGTTCCCGTCCCTCGTTTCTTATCCTCTGCCTGATTCCTTTCATCTCTGTAGAGAAAACGGGATATAATCACCAACTGCTGGCACAGGAAGGACACAGCACAGATGTGTGTGTGTGTGTGTGTGTGTGTGTGTGTGTGTCTTTCCCTTATGCGTAAACATCTAAGAGAAATATATTCAGTAACTATGGAACTACACTGAGGGGACAGCAATGGTGTCTTCGGACATGTCTGTGTTTGTGTGTGCACATGGTAAAGCCATGATCCACCACCAGCGTTAATGAGGCAAGAGTTGTACCATTCTGCCCCCTTTTCTCCTCTCCTTCTCTAGAGAAAAACATACAATCACACATTAATGACCCACCAGGATGTTGTTAATAAGAGAGAAGAGGAAAAATGGAGATGGAGGGTGGATGCAGAGAGAAATGTCATAATTGGTCAGTGTGAGCTCAAGGAAGACAAAGCCACAAGAGGGTTTATGAGCAAACAGGCAGATACAGTTTGTACAGGCAACATGCAGCCATGCGTGTGAAAACATGGGCCCCTTAGTCACCCTGAGTCCCAGTGGGAGACAGGGGAGAGTGGGCATACTGTAGGCCACATATTGTTGTTCTGAATATCCAGGGCTTCATGTGAGCTTTGATTCAAACAACATAAGCATTTTGTTTCATTATATTTTCAAAACACAATTTATGGTGTATTTTTCATTTATTATCACTTGATTTTATATAAAGAAAGGAAAGTGCCATGAGAGAGAAACCAAGGAAGGGAAATGGTGTTTATCGTTGAATTGCTCTGATAATGAGAATCGAATGGGGGCTGGCACGTTGCTATTATGCTTCTTGGCGGGGTGTTTGTGTCTGTGTCTGTGTTTGTGTGCATGCACTCTAATCATGTCCATACAATCCTAAGTGGCCAAGCCATGTTGGAAGAGAGCTTACCCCCCTCCAGCAAGGATTGTTGGCTGTAAGGTAACTGGCAAAACACAAGCGCGTAGACACAGACACTGTCGCTGCCAGGTGTGTTGAGGAGGTAATTGTCACTGTGGCCGGCCAGCTGCCAGGGGCTTAGAGAGGGGAGAGCTGGAGAGAAAATGAGGAGCAGCCTCTGGTGAAGTCTGTTTGCCCGAGGGGCCAGCTTAATATCTGTTGTTGCTGTTTATCCGATTCCCTTCTGTCCCCGTGCACCACTTTATATTCTCCTTATAGTTTCGCTCTTTTCCTCTATTGCCCGCTCTCGTCGTCGCACTGGCTCTTGTTAATGCTTATTTCCCATTCTCTCCAGTTTTCTCTCTTCTCTGCAACTACTCACTGCATCTCTTTTCCTCTCCCCCTTTCCCTCTCTTGTTCTTGTTCTCCCTGGATCCCAGTGAGCTTTCACTAAGAGGCTGCAGCATCACCACAGTCCAATCCCCTGGCAGGTCTATTCCAGGAGAGACCAACTATCACGTGTGTTTATCTTAGGGATGCATCAAATGTTCGGCCACCGAAATTAATTGTCCGAAAATAGCAAAAAAAAAGCACTTTCAAGTGTTCCGCCTAATAAGCCAAAAGGCCGATTAAATTTTACCAAACAATTACATTTTGACAGCAGTGTGAAAGCATCTTAAAGTGTCAGAGAAAGACGCAAAAATCGCCGTTTGCAGACACTGTTCTGCTGAATTGTCTCCTAGCACATCCACACCATCTGTGGCTAACTTCTTAGAAAAGGCAACAAACTTGCTGATCTGCTTTGAGTGTTTCTGTCACTCGTTTGTGAGAAGGCGATTAAGCTAGCCGCACCTAAATTTGGATTGCACACGTATTCGAGTCTTTATGGTAAATCCACTGAAATGGACCAGAGTGAGCTGACAGGCAGGTTAGTGACTTTATCCTGTCATTTTCTTTCTTTACAAAGACAAGTGTTGCAGTATGAGAGTCCTACCTGAAGAGAGGCTATGAAGTCTTCATGTTGCGCAATACGAGAACCACATACAACATTATTTATCAAATTGGGTCGGACTTGATGAATTTAGCGTGAGGAGGATACACATGTGACAGCGCCCGGTTTTCAAAAAAAGGTGTCTGTACAGTATGGAAATAAGATTTTTGGATTGTTTTCACAGAAAGTATAAAACAAATTGTACATGTGTCCATTAAAAGTAAATGGACACATGTACTTTACCGGACCCTCTTGGGCCTCGGACCCACCAACCATAGTCTCTCCAAATCCTGTGGGAAACACTGAGAAAAAATCACATTTTGACTATTTAATTTATGCAATGGTAAAAAAAAATGGCAAAATAAATGGAAAAAATGTGAATGTACTTGTTCGGTGTTCAGTATTCGGCATTCTCAATTTTTCAATTTTTCATTATATTCGGCTTTGGCCAAGAATTTTCTTTTCAGTGCATCCCTAGTTTCTCTTTTCTGTCCCCTGACAGCATCCAGATAAAACCCTGGATGTATGTAGCCTCAAGGTGACTTGATACTCAAGAGACTCTGTTTATTTATCAAAAAAGGAAAACTGCCAGTGGTAGTCTGGCAAGGTACAACAGCATAAAGATACTGTTTGCTGTCTATAATAGACTTTAATAGATGCGTATGTACTTTCTCTTGGATTCTGCCCAATGAATATTCATTCAGATCAATTTTATATAGTGCCAAATCACAACAGAAGTGATCTCAAGGGACGTTTCCTATAGAGCAGGTCCTAATCGTGCTCTTTGCAATATAATATTGTATTGTTTCCCATATCAGTGCAGTACCATTTAATCTAATTTCTCAGATTATGGGTTTCTTTGGCACCATAGTGTACATTTTGATAATGGATTAATCATTTCAGGATTTTTTTAAAGCAAAGATAGCAGACATTTTTCTTCTAGCTTCCCCAACTTGAGAATTTGCTGCTTATATGTTTTATATTATTGTAAACTGAATATCTTTGGGTCTAAGACTGGTGGTCAAAACAAGACATTTGAAGACATTTCCTTAGGCGCTGGGAAACTTTATTTTTCAAAAACAACTAGTTCATTAATCAATAATGAAAATTATCATTAGTTGCAGCGCTGATATTTATATTTACTGATTGTTTTAGAAAAAGTCCAAAAGTTTATGTAGTTTGTTTACCGTAAAACTTTGATTAATAGCCCAGGCTTTTATTTGCTAAAATCAGTGAATTGACCCTGACTATATTTGGGACCGGCCTTCCTTGCTTCCACAAAACTGAAATCAAAAGGATTCATAACTTGGATTAATTTTTATGAAAAGCTGTTTTGATTGTTTTGATGAGTGGACGCTTACAGACTAAAGGAATATAAATAATCAAGTTACGGACACATTCGGACTTAAGGAGGCTTCAAAGGTAACGTGAGTTGGCACTTTTTTTTTCTTTTCATCTCTTGCACTATGCGGTTACACCGGTAATGCTTGTTATTTCTTTTAAATGAACTGAACGATTAAATTGTGGAGAATCTAACCAATCTAACGATGTGTAGCATGCCCATACTGACATATTGATCATACGTTTAAACATTAATATGTAGCCTATTAACGATCTAAGCAGCTTAGAAGCAGCTAAAGCGGGCGTTTAATTGAGACCTACAGTTATTTGTCAAAATGTGTTCCCACGCCAGGCCAGTAAACAGAGTGGGCGGTGTTTTAGTACTGAAGTGAGTTTATCTGGGATACTATAAAAAAATTACTCTTTAAAGAATTTGTTGTCTTGTCCTTTGTTTTCGTCTCGTCATCATCTCACTGTTTTCATGGAAGGATTTTGGCACAGTTTTCATTAAAGAAATGAATACTATAGCATTTTGTCACACCTGCTTGAACAGCCAACTCCTGAATCTGGAAGACCTCTGCGAAATCATCTTATATACTCTTGTTTGAGCAGGCAAGCCCAGCTCTGTAAATGTCCATTCTCTGGTTTGAGTGTGACCAGATGAGTCTGTGTACTGTCAGTGGTGATACTGTTGACATTTCATGTTGTGAATAGGAACGTTGTGTATCTGTTCACCTCGGCTTGCTCCGCACTGATAAAACTGGCCTGTTTTTCATAGCCACACCAGTATACTTTATTTTACGGAGCCCTAAGATGAGCTGAAGGTAGAAGTCACCAGTAACTTTCATTTAAGTTCAAGGTTGTAGTTACAAAGAAAGACATAAAGGTGAATTGGTTTACTGATATTGAATTTTTTCTGGTTTTATTCTGTGTATTTTGAGTTCTTATCAAGCCTTTTTTTCAGTATTGCTTTACTGTCACCCCTGTTTTTTGCTCACTGAAAGGAATAAAGGCCAGGTCAGAACCATTACTGTCTCTCAATTTATTGGAAGGGGCACTCTGTAGTACGATGGTTCATGAGTATTCATATAGTATGAGGAATTTTTATGTGTGTGTGTGTGTGTGTGTGTGTGTGTGTGTTTGTGTTTGTGTTTGCGTGTGTGTGAATGGGGGAGGGTGTGTTAGGCTTAAGTGTGCAACCCAGTTTATGAAAACAAGTACATGTTTGTATATTTCAACCCCCTCCCTCAGAACCCTGCCAGCTCATGAAAAATGAATGGCCTGTGGACGTGTGTGTGTGTGTGTGTGTGTGTGTGTGTGTGTGCACGTGTACGTACGTGTACGTAGAGAGAGAAGGGAGTGTTAAAGGGGAAAATCGAGGTATGGGTGGAATTGGGTTCTGCAGGGTTAGACAACACATGCAGTTTAAGTGTGATGGTTGTTTATGTATTTATTAAATCGACATGTCTTCCGTTTTTCTGTTTTTTAATCTAGAAAAGAAGAAGCGGCATTGCAATTTTCCCTTGACACTTCCTCCTGTAGTTGTTGAGTCACTGATCAATCTTTCCCCCTTCTACCCCCCCCCCGTCTTCTCTGTGTTTCTTCATCTGTTAGAAGTGCAACCTCTCGTAGAGTGGTGGCCAGGGTGACAGAGGAGCACATGAGGAGCGGAAACAGCGTGACAGCAACATCCTGACCGGTAACCTTGCCTCTGCACCCCTGCCCCCGCCCCCCCAACCCGCGCCCAGCAACTCCAGAAGTGGGCGTCACAAGGAAGGAAACGTGCAACCACTCCTCCTGCAGGCATGGTAATACACTGTCTGTCTGTAGTGTGATTGTGCAGTTGGATGCTGGTGGATTATCCACTAAAGAGTAAGGAAATCCCCAGACTGGAGGGTGTAAGAGTTGAATCTGATAACTCGTTCTAGACATGACAACAGATTGTGTGTGTGTGTGTGTGTGTGTGTGTGTGTGTCAAAGATAGATACCTGATAATAGCTAGTGCAGACAGTGGTGTATAGCTTTGCGTCTTAGGGAATAAACAGGAGATGCATATACCTCCATAGGCTATGTGTTTCCATTGGGGAAAGAGGAGAAGGAGAAGACAAAGGTAACAGAAGAAGACAGACATGGAAGGTGATTGTAAAAGGAAGTAGAGTGGAGATTAACACTGTTGGCCGTTCATTAGGTTTTCTAAATGATGCATTTGTTGATATTTCGATCCAAAGGCAATGCATTTGTTCCTTTTCACATCACAGAAAAAAAACCACTGTGTTGTTTAGGAGGAGAGGGCGGCTCGAAAGATCAAAGAGAGCAGCGGAGAGAGAGAGAATGACAAGCGGGGGCAGATAAGACCATAAAAACATAAATGATGGACAGACACGGGAGAGATGAAAAGCGCAAAATATTGTAGAGTGCAGAAACTGGGGGGAGAGAAGGGAGTTTGAGAGCTGGGAAGGGTAAAGGTAGAGAGAGACGAGGGATTGATTAATGGTCTTAGCCTGTGACAGTGGGAGCTTTCCCCCTGAGGGGAGAGCAGAGCAGATGATGAATTATTAAAAACCAGAACAAGCAGGAAGGAGGAACCAAAATGAAGAGAGTGGAAGAGTGGTTTGTAGGAGAGGCGAGAAGAAGAAAAATGAATGATTGAGAGAAAACAAGATGTTGCTGAAGAAGGTGCTGAGGTTCATAAATAACCAAGGATAATGAGACCTGTGTGTGTGTGTGTGTGTGTGTGTCAGTCACAGTACTGTCTTGAGCTATGGTAATGCAGCAAATACTGTGGGTGACCTTGGCGAGGGTGTCACCCCATTTAAACCGCACAAAACAGCTTTTCTATCGACATACCTCTGAGCTTTCTGCATTCACTGAATACACATGCCCACGGTATTTTTCAATGTCTCTAATGTACAATTAATAGAAAACATAACCGAGTTGCCTTAAAAACAAAAATCTCTAAGGTTTTAAAAGCTTTTGTTGAAGCGGGAAAACATAATTAATTTCCTTTTCTTCCATATGGTTATTTTATTGTATTCTGGTATTTTCCCCATGCAGACTTGTCCATTCTCAGTGCTGTAGTAGTATGCCCAGAAACAATTTTATAGGCAGGCAATAAACCTCTTAAACAATGCCGACACATTAAAGGGGGCAAAGGGCATAGACAAAAAAAGTATCTTCTTTTAGTGCAGAGTAGGCTGGTTTATAAGCTTGATTGATGACACCAGACTTTAGATGAATGTCGTTCCTGCTGAAACAAGACAGACTGGGCGTTTTGCAAAGGGTTTCGATACATTGCCCTGCATTATATGTTTCTAGTTTTCTATGTATCCATTTTTATCCAGTGTTTATCAGGAGACTTGAGACGTCCGGCTTGACATGGACAGCCTTTTTGTTGTTTTTGCTGCTACATCGTGCAGCCATGAATGTGATATTGCATGTATATTTTTGATGGGCATGTTATGCCCGGCTATGACGTGCATGCATGTGTGTGACTGCGTCCATATGGTAATTTGAAAGACAGTGAGAGAGACAGACTGACAGACAGACAGACAGACAGACAGAGAGAGAGAACACAATAAACCAGGAGAGCAGAGTGTGGCGGGCCAAGCAGAGTGCAGATAAATCACAGAATAAATTTTTAATGCAATCTCCCGTAGGCTGCTGGATGTTACAGAGACGGCGCTGAGTTTTTTTGTTTGTGTGTTGCTTGTCCCATCACTCCTAGCCTATTTTTTGATGGGTTTTTGAAGTTTTTGAATATTCTTTTCTCCTTCAACTTTGCTTGGTTTAATGTAGGACTAAATAGGTGTGACCACCTTTTTATATACAGTCTATGGACACAACACCACTTGTTAAATAGGTTTGCCTGGTTTTGGTGTAATTTTACAGTGAAGGTGTTTTGGCCTGTGTTGTCAGCTTTATTACAAACAAACCTTTGTATCTGCGGCTGTCTAAAAATATTAAAATCCAGTTTGTTTTTTCTCTCCCAGCATCCTTGTCTGTCGATCTCCAGGTTTTTTGGTCGAGCGTGTTTGTTTACTTTCGAAAGGCTTTCTCCACTCCTCTGCCATCCTCTCCCCTCCCTCATCTCTCATTCTCTCTTCACAATACCTCGTAGTGTGTGCTGTCATCCAAGCTCTCAGCACACACTTTAGGCTCATGACTTATTAAAAATAAGAGCGCACAAACACCTCCGCTGTTTAAGCACACACACATATGGGGCAATGTTTCTAAATGGCACTCTAAAAATAATAGGCTATAGCTAATAAAAAAACAAAGATACGGCTATAGAGCATCACTCCAATCCCAGCTGATATTGTTCCAGTGAGTCTTCTCCTTGGCTTTGGGTCATGTAATTTATAGCAGATGGCCACAGGGAGACAGGATGAGGCAGGAAGAGACTAGAAGAGACAGGTGGCGATGGAGGGGAAAGTCATTGGATTCTGCTGCTTTTAAAGTGAAGTAGCCACTACTGACTGGTTGCGTGTCTAACCGCAACACCTTGAACTGAAATGGTTTTACTGCAGGGCATTAAGGACAGAATGGGGGTGATAGAGGGTGATGGAAGTAATGGCTGTGTGTATGTGTGTGTGGGGAAGACACTGTGTAATTGATTGTATGGGTTTTATGTGCGTGTCACTCTGGATTTTCATGTTTAGTTTGTGTGTATTATCACATTAGTTGTATTTTTGCCATGATGTGTACAGGCTTTTCTTCTGTTGGTGTGTGTGCACGTTGGTTTAGTACACAGCGAGTTGTAAATGCTGTGTAATGTGGTTATGTAACATGGGCCTGCCAGCCGGTAGGCCTCACTGGAGCATGAAATGGAGTGTAATTGGCAAGTGTGTGGACTAAAAGCACTATGCAACAATGGCATATGAAGGTATATTCACACACACACAATGCAGACAGCTGCGATTTAACAGTTGCATGTGTCTGTTTCTGATTGCATGGTAGAGGAGAGGAATCGCAGATTTCAGATTTTTCACCGATTCTGTGCAATTCATATTTGGCTCTTCACAAAGTTATCAGTTGTTTTGGATATCTGAGCCTTAGTGAAATCATTTGCTTTGGTGCTAAATTTATGCTATAACTCTGAAAATACACTGTCTGACCTTGTTTGTACACAGGCCTGTGTCCATATTCTTATTACACAGAGATAAAAAAACAAAAAACAGTTACTTAGTACAACACAGTCCCATCACTAAAACATGATTACTAATAACATTTATGATACGTAGAGATTAAACAGCCTAGCAGGAAGTTAAAAAAATCTTTTTTTTATTTGGAGTAAATGTGTCAACCAGCAAGGCAGTAAATCACAATTTTATGGGACCCTTTATCCTGTGAGATCTTAAAGGATAAACCTGTAGTTCTTTTTATTCATTTGGCCATTGTTCAATAATAATATTGCACTCTCCAAGTTGATTTCTAATAATTGGTTTTAAACAAAACAGAAGAAGAGTATTTTGTGCTACTTTGCTACAGCCAATAAACTATGATATTAAAACTTTATTTGAGCGTGATATATTATATTTGGAGACACAGCAGCATTTACTTTGGCCCTGTAAGATACCTCAACTTAATTTTCTCCTCCAAGGATCAGCTTTAGGTCAATGTGCCGAAATTGGACACTGATTTTGTATTAGTGACACTGGGGGTTGTTACAGGCATCTGGATGGAGATCCTTTGTGGCTTAACCATCATTTATGATTTATTTTTGCTTTCGCTCATACGCCCACACTTGGACAGGTGTGTGATTGACCTCTAGGTTACGTGCCGGTCAGTGTGGATTCAAGGACAACCAAGGTGTTGTCTATAATTGACTGTGTGTGTGTGTGTGTGTGTGTGTGTGTGTGTGTGTGTGTGTGTGTGTGTGTGTATAACAAGGGCATAAAAGCAACTTAAGCTGTTTCAACGCAGAGAACTTGCAGCATTAAATAATATTACTTATACCGACATACTGGAATGTCATTTTTTTTCATCTTTTCTTTTGTTAGGTTATTTTTCTTTAAAAAAACATAATCTACCCACCTGTAGGTAATGTTGTACCATATTGTGCAATAATCTAAAATTATTTTTATGAAAAAAGAAAAAAATAATAATTGAATTTGAAAAATGTTACAAAAAACATTACGTTACCATGACTTTTTCCCTCACCATTTCTCTCAAATTAGTGTGAAACTGTGAAATCCTGCGTCAATTCCTGTCTTGGCTACAGTACTGTAGCTTACTTATAGTGTCACTTGTCTCTGCAACATTATCTGAGCACATGCTGGCCTAGGCGCTCGATTCCTGTCTGTGAGTCCGCCTTAACTGCTCTGATTTACATGGTGAACAGAGCGGCTGGGCAACAACTCCCCCATGGTCGAGTAGTACAGACACACACACAGATACATCGACACTCTCTTTGCAATGTGGTTTATGGCTGCAGAAGCTCCCATTAGCAACGGCTCATAAAATCTGCGACTGTTGGTCTGTTAAACAATGCTCTGAGAAGGCACACAAGTATAAAGATACACACATTATTGCAGATGTGCATGTAGGTACACATACATATAAGTACACACACTCACAGTTACACAGTTATCACCTTTTTTCTGCTTAAGCCAAAAGATAACATTTTCTCATTAAAGATAAAAGATAAAACATCACTTGAAGACTTGTGAAAGTGGCTCATAGCCCAGAAAAGAAACCCAGTGTTCAGTAACACGTATTTTTAATATCTATTAATCTGACTGTTCATTTTTCAGTCACAAATTAGTGTAAAATGCGTCAACACATTTATTTTGTTTTGTTTGACCAACAGTCCAAAACCCAAAGATAATGCAATTGGGAAATCTTCGTATTTCAGTTATTTATTAGTCAATGAAAAGTATTGTTGATTCATTTTCTGGCAATCAAGTAAATGTTGAATCTGTTGCCTATCCCAAACCCTGTTGTAATCCCTCTAAAGGAACAAGGCATAATATTTTTGACGGACAGATCTTTTGAGAACAGCATTTCAAGTCACATAAAAGTATTGAATTGCTGCAAATGTCAAACAAAGCCATGCATGTCAACTGTGATCAAAATAAGACATGTTAATGTTAGGAAACCTGATTGCATAGAAATTCTAATACTTGCATATTCTTTCAAGGTATCTAAATTCGCTCCATGTCACTGCCGCATGCTTTTGTGCCAGGTGCCAAAGTGTTGGAGAATCGCTGTTCCAGTGGGAACGGAGTGTGTAACCCTGCCAAATGTTTGTGCCTCACTCTACATACTGAGCTACACAGGCTGGGAGGCTGCAGTTATTGTGCAGTGCTTGTCCTCCATTCTGTTAATGGCTTTATCTCACTCACTCTGATGAAAGAGAATGTCACCAGTTCAATTAGGAATGGGGATGAAGTGTGTGTGTGTGTGTGTGTGTGTGTGTGTGTGTGTGCGCGCTTTTTGCGCACATGTGTGCAGTTTGGTCCTTGGATTTCAAGTAGGTTGATAGTAGCTCTCAAACGACACTATCCATACTTCTCCGAAAAGGTCATCTGTCCTGTGTGTGTGTGTGTGTGTGTGTGTGTGTGTGTGTGTGTGTGTGTGTGTGCATGATGGTTAGCATGCCTGGTGTGTGGTTCTCTATGAGTAGATGTGTGTAGTGAATGGGAAGGGAAATGTGGGTCTTTGAGATAAGCAGCTTGTTGAGAGCAGCCTCCTCATGTTGAACTGGGTTACGTACCTCAGGCTCCCCAGCGTGGTGTGATAACCTCTAATGTTTAAAAATGAACCTCATCCTTCAGATTCACCTTACCAAGATATACTGTAAAATGTTTAGACCTATATTTCCCAAAAAATAAAGATGGAGAGGAAAAAAGAGACAGAAAAAAAAGAGAAAGCAAAGAAAGAGATAAAAAGCCAGCCAAAGCAAAACTAAACTACAGTGAAAGGCCAGTGAAAAAGAAAAAAACATCAAAGCTGTAGTGACTTAACAATTCTGGTTGATATTATTCTCATGTGTATATAAAAAACAAAAGTAATGCAGATAGAAAAGATAACTAAAATTAAGAGTGCAACAGAAGTGGTGTTGCTGCTAGCCATATATAAGCACTGATGAATTAATGAGATAATGTGCTTTGATAATAGATTATAATGCACGCTACATTGCCACTTAAGTTCCCCGTTGTATCAGTTTTACATTTAGATTATATTAGTTAATTAATACTTAATGGTCAGATGTTTAAATACAGGAATCTTTCACATAACTAAGTGTTTTCCATTTAACATTTAGCCACATTAAAAAACACTCACTGAAATGCTGTGACACAAAAAAAAGCTGACGTACAATTTACAAGGTGTTTTCATATGACTGTGCATAAGCACAGGGACCCATCTGGGTGGTATTAATGGCAGAGTGGGAATCACAAAAGCCTCAGTTACACCTGCTCCTCTCCTTCATCTCTCTGTTCCATTTATGTTTGAATTCAGCCTCCCCTCCTACAACCATTTTCTGTCTTTTAAGGATTCTGTACCGTTCCCAGAGCTCTTGCCTCTGCTGTCCTCTATTCTCTTCCTTCTTGGCTCATGTGGCATGCCCCTTATATTTTCTGTCGTTTATTCTCCTCTGTGCAACCCCTCGTCAGATGCCTTCCACTTGCCTCTTCCTTCCATGGTTTCCCTCCTTATACCTCCCAGAGTCACAAGGAGCAGATGAACTGTAGATTCCCACAGCCTGAATATCTGATTGAATTAGAACAGGTGGAGATGGTCAGAGGTCAGATGAATTTTTGATAGTAAATGTGTATTTGTGTGTGCATGCATGTCAGGGTCAGGAGCTGTCTCTGAGTTAAGAACTGAAATCTTTCCCGTTAAAGCAACACACATAAAATGCCATGCGTAGTCGTGCTTTGTGGGACGGTAAGTAGCAGGATGCGCCTTGTGTCTTTGTCTTGAATTTGTTTTTTGCTGTTAAGTTGTGGTGCATTGATGTTTGCATTGACGCAAACATGTGTGGGCTTTCTTTTTTCTTTTTTTTTTGTCAGTCAGTCTCAGACAGGCTGACCAAAGCTCGATTTGATGGATTAAAGCGCAATCTGTTGTTGAAAACCGCCCTCCAATGGTGCCCTTGCTGTAGACAAAGACAGGGGGAGTGTGTTTGTGTGTGTTTGTGTACAGGTATGCCTTTTAGGTGCCTTAGTGTTTCCTGTCACTTTTAATCAGAATGTACTAAATTTGATTTCTATTTATTTTTTCATTCTCCTTTACCTTCTTCCAGAGGTCCTTCCGTTCCTTCAGTAACGATGACCGCCACGTCATGGCGAAACACTCCACCATCTACCCCTCCTCCCAGGAGCTGGAAGCAGTGCAGACGCTGGTGTCCACTGTCGAGTGCGCCCTCAAACATGTCTCTGATTGGCTGGACCAGAAAAGCAGCGACATAAACAGCCAGGCCAACAGCCAACCAGCAGACAGCACAGAGGAGGATGATCCTGGCGATGAGCCCAGTGACAAAACTGAGGATTCCAGTGACAGCTACAGGTATGCTAGCAATGACGCACAGTGGAGCTGCAACTAATGTTGTGTGTGTTTTTTATTCTCTATAATTTTCTTGCCTTTTAACATGACATAGGAGGCAATGTCCTCTTGCTTATTTTGTCTGACCAAAAATTTTAAAGGAACAGTTTGAGATTTTGTAAATATGCTTATTCACTTTCTCGCAGAGAGAGTTAGATGAAACAGTAGGAGCATGTTTGGCTCCAGAGGAAATTAACTTAACCACTTGACAATCTCTGGGCACCATTCCCCATGGTCGGCTATCTTCATGAATCTTTTTATTAAGGGTTCACTACTTCTCATTAAGGTCTTAAATTGCCTTGTCAGATCTTATTTTGCATCTTAACTAGCAGGCCTGCAACGAAAAGTTGAAACGGAATCAACTTTACGCAACCCGATGTCAGTCTCCAGTGCCCAATCAAGTAAGCCGGCAATCAGAGTCAAAATGCTCCACAGTCAGCCTGAAATATAGCTGAAACCGGGAGCTATCCAGGCAGAGTTCATGGACCAAACAATGATACTCTCCCAGATGTATCCTCGCTTGGTTAATTTTGTAATTTTTCTATGTCTGTGTCTGGCTTGCAGTCTGCGCTCTATACGAAGAAGCTTCCTTTGGTTTGTGTCCATTCGTTTGAGAGAGAGAGAGGGAGAGTGAACGAAGAGAGGGAGGGGTGGTAGCGAGAAAGCTGGTGAATCCGCGCAACGCCTGATTTGGTGTGAATACAGCCTAATATTGCTTTTAAAGTTCTTTAATATGTTGTTAACGGCCTTAGATCAAACATAGATTTTATTGAAAAAAAGGGAGGTGGTAACATTGAAGTGTGTACTGTTAAAAAAACACATAAAATGCGAATGTTCCCTATCGTTTATTATTCTTTTAAACAGAGAGCCCAGCAGTGGTGGCGTGCTGTGTGGAGTGATGAGGATCGGCCTGGTGGCCAAAGGCCTCCTGATCAAAGGCGACATGGACCTGGAGCTCGTGCTGATGTGTAGAGACAAACCCACACAGACACTGCTGGACACTGTCTGTCACAATTTACCCACACAGATAGAGGTTAGACACTCACGGACCCACACACATACATACAGCTGCATGCTTATTAGTTTCTGTCTTTTGTTTTCTCTCACACACTCACTTTCAGCGATATCATAGTCTGCCAAATTTAATCCAAGAAAGTTCTATTTTTATTGCACAGTCCTCTCTGATGTCAGAAATTAAGCTATTTGGATAAGCGTTCACATTGTGTGAGCTTGAATTTGCCAACACTCTCGCATCGAGAGTGTTGGCATAAGCAGGCAAGTGACAGTAATATCGTAAAGTCAGAACTTGAGAGGTGTTTTAGTATGCTTGAGTCATGTGTGATTAATACTCTGGTGTTAGTATCCCAGTGTCATGTTTCATCATTAACAAGTCATGGTATAGTCAATCTCCTGACGTTCTAAAGACCACACAAATATGCAGGATATAATTTTCATCTAGGGGAGGTATTTAGCAACAGCTACTAATGTGGTAAAAACCTGGCCAGCTAGTGCAGAAATTACTCAATTAATAAATTCTGTCCCTGTGCCTCTTGTCTGCTCGTTCTCTTTAGCAGTTAAGTGGTGTAAGATAGAGAATGGCAGGAAGGAAGTGTGTGTGTGTGTGTGTGTGTGTGTGTGTGTGTGTGTGTGTGTCAGACATTGCTTAAGTGAGCAGTGAGTTGCAAAGGGCCCATCTACATCCCATTTGGCTTTGATGAGAAAATCAGAATCTCTGGTCACTGGTCCAAGACATGAGATTACCTCCCTTCCCACACACGCAGAAAACACACATACATACACACACTTGTTTTTGCCACTTCGGAGGACGTTGCATTGACTTGTGTTCATTCCCTGGAAGCTTAATCTAACTCTAACTCTAACTGCCACATACTGTTCCTAACCCTTAATCCTAGCTTTAACCAAGTCCCAACTCTAATATAAATGAGAAACCTTGGGAGGAGTTTTTTGCCCCCCACATTAGAGCTGAGTACCCAATATGTGACTGGATTACAGATGTTTTGCCCAACAATATAAATAATGCAAGCACACAAACGTGCAAATCAAGCAAGAGCAGCCTATGCTAGACATCTACACACATACTGTACTCGCAAAACATCGCACAAATGCTTCCTCTGGGCTACTCCTTGACTTACACTGTGTTTTAGTTCAAATCTTTGACTTATTCAGTATTTACAGTCAGTCATGACATTAAATGCTTTTGTGAATCTGTGTGTACAGGTTATTTGCCTGCAGGTTGTTGTGGCAAAAGCTTTTTGTTGCTGTTGAATGAATGTTGTTGCTATCCCGTAAATCTTTTACGTGTCGGCACGTGTGCTTGAATGCACGTGTGTATCAAGTTACAAATGTGGCCGTTGTGTGTACTGACTTGAATTCATTATCATCAGTAATTGTCAGTCCTCACCACAGAGGTCAGCAGTAATTGATTCCTTCAGAATGGGGGCTGATTGAGGCACAGTGTACATACAGGCAGACAATTTCACAAATGGATATGTGACACTGGGAAACAATAGAGGCCGACACATAAACACACACACAAGATCATTTACAATGTACAGCTTGCACCAGCTTTTATACTTCACATGATTACATCATCTTTCATCATCATCCATTTTTTTATCGAATGCGTCTCACAGCTGTAATGCTTATTTTATGATAAAATGTTATATTCATTTTTTATGTTAATATAATTTGACCTAATTAGCCTGTTTTAAAATATTATGGCCATTAAATAACCTCTGTCCAATGTTGTATACTGGTGTATGTTGAAGGATACAGGCTTACTTATCCTTTCATCATTACGAGATGCAGAATCTTCACCTTTTTTTCCCCTTTCCCCGTTTTGTTTTGTTTTGTTTTTTGCAAGTTTGACTTTAAAATTCTAGTTTTTGTTCACACAAGAAATTCTGTGTCCTTTATGCATTTGCATGTTGTTGTTCTTGTGATTGATACACATGAGAACTTTTTAAAACAAGTCTTGTGTTTTTGTCTGTAGTGATGTGTAGCCTAGCAAGTCAGATATCTCACATTTCAAAATGCTGCCTTGGTTCAGGTTATCAGAAGCATCCTGGGCCCAAAATAGCCCCTTTTTGGAAATATCAAGCGATAAGGGACCTGCAAGGCTAATCAGTTTCTCTAAATGTTTTTCATTTATATTTCTCCTGTCATACCTGGTGATGATGTTGCAGCGTCAGGGAGCAGCAGTGGGCTCAGATATATTTAGCTTCTCCTCCTTTTTCATCTGTTCTTTGTCGTGTTGTGACCTTGGCCTCTGACCATCCCGTTATGTCTCTTTGACGCATGACAGAAGCTGACAGAAGAAAAATATGAGGTCACAAGCTCCTTGCCCGAGGCAGCCATCTTGGTACGAACTACAACAGAGCCCAAACTCACACTGACGATTACCCTCACCTCACCAGCCATGAGAGAAGACGATGACGAAGAGGAGGAGGAAGAGGAGGAGTTCGAGAATGGGGAGGAAATAGGGGAGGAGGAGGGGGAGGAGGTGGAGGACAAAGAGGAAGAGCAGGAGAAGAAGAATGGGCAAGGTAGGAACACAGAGATAGGAGACGCACAAGTTGTAGTTTTTCCCTCTTTCTCAGTCCACAGCCACACACACACACACACACACAATTGTAATGTATGTTGTGTTTGTATACGTTTTAGAACGCATTTGTTTTTATTTCCCTCATATAAGAGGTTTGATCTCATTAATTAAAGCTGACACAAGACATGACAGGTACAGGACACATATAGGAGCTGAAACACACAGGAACAGGCGTTCAGACTAATGACAATCTTCCCTCCCTATGCCCCCATTTTCATGGGTAACAGGAAGTGGTTATAATTGGTTGTGGGAGGTGGGACGGGAGAGCAAGGCCAGCAGGCCAGCGAAATCAATAGCCAAGCAGTAGCAAGCTGCCCATCCATCCCGTGGCTCCTGTCCAACTAGGCACTCAGGTCTCGGAGAGAGATGAGAGATAGCACGGAGGTTAGCCGTACATCATGCCATGTGCCACGGTGAGATGGAGGAGACCGCTCATATTTTTTTTATTTCTCTCTCACACACCAAGAAGAGCACACAGGCATGCAACCACACAGAGGAGAAGCCATGCACACACAAACCTTATATCGAACCTGACGGATAAAGGTACCTGTCACACTGGATGTCTAATAGCTCAGGTTTCATCAGGCACCCATGGAGGCTGAGGGATGTGGTCCAGTCTGTCTAATAGGGTCACATCTTTAAAGGTTGAGACTGAAACTTTTTTTATGCTTTAGGGTTCCCATGTGTGCAGAATGTTTCAGTAAGCTCTGGCTATTTTATTGAATATAAGTTGTACTTGTGTCTGTGCAGACATATTGCATGCATGCGTGCTCAGACACCGCTCACTGCTCTTTGCGGTCACAGAGGGAGGGAGGGTGCTGTGACAGTAAATTAGAGGAGACGCGATAGCCAAGGGAATTTTTTAAATCAGACAACACAAAAGGAGATAATGAGTGAGGGAGCGGCGAGCAGAGCATTTGAGAGAACAGTGGGAGGACAAGCGGAGAGGAGAAAGACTATAATGATCCACTTGCAGCAGAGCGGCCCCACATGCAGCTGAGATCACTCTGACAGACCTTGAGATACACCATTGTACATCACAGGGAAACACAAATAGACACCACTGCATGCATCAGTCAGGAAGAGCTATGCTGTAATAACGGCCAGATGAGTTCAGGGATAATGTGAGATAGATGTTCTCCTTGCTGCTACCACACATTACACCCTTTTGACATTCCATCTTAATACCTCTTGGAGGAAGGTTTTTCTTCTTCTTTTTATGGGAGAGTGATAAGAAAATATTTACCTTGTTGTTTTCATAGAGACCCAAAGGGTCTTTAGCGTGTTTTATGTCACTCCCAGTAGGTCCTGCACACAATAAACCCTCTTTGAAAACCCCATGTAACCGAACTCATTCATACACACCTGCGTTTGATTCAGCTCGCCTTACATATCAAGGATTTTGATTGTCAGGTAGCAGAATGGCTGAGAGTGTAGTAACTCAACCATTTTGTGTTGGGCAGCATCAATCAAATGCTCACATATAAAAGCGCAAGAATGCACCTCTTTTACCAACCACGATGCTCTGACTAAACCCTGCCTTGATCCCTCCTGTGTTGTGTTTGTCTGAGACTGGATCAAACTATCTTAGATTATTTTATTTTTTTCTTTTCAGTTATACTTTAGGAGCGCTTGATTCTGTGTTTGCCCAGACAGGGTGTTGAATTGCCTTTCTCTGCACCAGTTCTCTATGAGTCTGTGAAATCAAGTGCACCTTAAGTAACCCAGAAGAAAAATAAACTCCTATTTTGACTCCTGCCTGGTGCAGACTGGATCAAAATAAATAAAACCCTCTTCAAATACATAAAGGAGAGATTGATTTGCCTCGCTGGGCACAGGGAAATGTGTGTGTCCCAAAAATGCCCACACATTAAATCAAACACTCCTTAGGTATTTGTTTGGTGTATGTCTGTGGGGGGGCTCTCCATCCCACAAAGTTGTCTCTTCCCTTGTGACCTCGGCTGCTCTCCCTTTCACTGATTTGTCACTGACTTGATGGATGTAAACTACTAAATCACTGTTAAATAGTGTGTGTAATTTTCAACACATATGTGTACGAAGGACAGTGCATCCTGTATTACTGTGTGCTAATGATGTCAACATGTGATGCAGTTGACACATGTTAGACTGATCACAGTGTTGAAAATGACACATCGTTTAGAGTGAGGACGTTTTTACGGGCATTCATCACAGATCTGTGAACTGTAGAGAGTCTGCACTTTCTACAAGGAGAAACAGCTTTATGGCATGAAAAGCACCTTGTATGTACCAAAATATCCATGCATGTGTGTGTGTATGTGTGCATTCACACACAATTTTTCTAGTGTGTCTGCATACATTCCCATGCGCAAAAAAATTCAAACACACACACTCAGACATGACGTGTGTGTGTTTCACGTTCTCTATATTGGGTTGTTATTGTTTTGTGGCAGTGTTGGGTGCTGCTGCGCAGAGAGTGGAGGCTGAGGAGGAGGAGGGGGAGGTGCTGGATAGACACAGATGTCTGTTGGCCCTGGCAGCGCTGCGACACGCCAAGTGGTTCCAGGTCGGCACCCACTCACTTCCTGTCTTCCTGCCCGGTGCTTATTGTAGCCTGACGATTCACCCAGAGGGAATACACTCACTGTCAGCTAATACTGTGGTGCTTATTGTGCCCGGTCAGTTTGGATTAATCAAGAATAGACAGAAATTTAAAAAAAATTCTCATATACATTTGAATTCATTTGTTACATTTACTTACATTTGTTCAATTATTACAAATAATCTTAGAATTAATACGGCAACATATAAATATATAACATGCTCTCTCATCTCCAGTTCACTTTGCAGGATGTTGTTTTATAACATCACGGACAAAAATTGGCAAATATTACACATCAGTTACATTCAATGTTGCACTCAACTCACTGTATATGTAACTGGGAAAAACATGAATGTAAGAGGAATCGTAAGGCTACAAAAGCAATGGTTGATACTTGTTTTTCTTTTTGGCTATTATGTGAACCTGCCTGCTCTGTACAGTATGTCCATGCTTCCCTCTGATTCCCCTCCCATACCCTTCCCCATCTATCTCCCAACTCACTCACCTTACTGACGAAAAAAAATTCAATGTACAAATTCAGAATGTAGAGAATTGAAGAAAATTACATGTTTAGTTAACTACATTCAAAATGTTTAGTGTCTTAAGCAGCATAACTCATGATATTCATTCTCTGTGGGGGGCTCATGCAGAGGGTTAGACAGATACAATCACTTCATTATGTGGCTTTGTGGTGTAAAGCAGGCTGTTATCTGTGTGTGTTTGCACAAATACCACTCCTACTGCGCTCAATTTGTTCCCTTCCTCCCTCTTTCTGTTTAATCTTCCTTCTCACACCTCTCCATCTTTCCTTCTTCTCCCCTCTCCTTCCCTCTATTGCTCTCTCAGGCTCGAGTGAACGGGCTCAAGTCCTGCGTTATCGTTCTCAGGATACTCAGAGACATGTGCAATAGACACCCCATCTGGGAACCTCTCAAGGGATGGGTGAGTCTTTTGCTCTAATTACATGCATTTGACTGTTAATGTTAACGAAATGCCCTCCATCTCCATGCTGTAATGGGAGGTTCATATTTCTGTTAAAATTTGAGGAATTGAGTCATCCATAAATTAACTGTGTCACATACTGCTTAAGAATGCTGATACAGAGTCACCATAAAATCTTTCACATTAATTCTCATTAAGATCTGATTGACAGACATGCTGTTTTATTAGCAAGAAAGATGAATTATGTTTAGCGAGACCACCACTAAATGTGTTATGTAAATACAACATTTAATTAACAGACTGATTGATTATTGTTTTAGATTTGCTAGTGTCAGTTCACACTCCACGAGTTTAATTTCTTTGTTAGTTTACTTTTACATACTGTAGGTATTGCGTAAAGGGGAAAATACCTTTTTATTGATACAGCAAATCATTTTCCTTACAGTTGCATCTTCACCTGTGTTTATGCGTGTGTGTGTGTGTGTGTGTGTGTGTGTTCTGGCAGCCCTTAGAGCTTATCTGCGAGAAGGCAATTGCCACCTGCAACAGACCTCTCGGGGCTGGAGAAGCCCTGCGTCGAGTCATGGAGTGTCTGGCCTCAGGCATACTGCTACCAGGTACGGAGCCTTGGTGGATGCATGAATATACAGCTACAAAGATTAAAGGATCATTAAAGGAGCGTGTGTGTTTCCATGCAAATTCTTGGCAGTGCTGGTGAGGGTAGCTAGGGAACATGTCAGATTTGTGTAGATGAGCAGATACACTGTGGCACATTTTTGAGCTGTTTATCTGAGAGAGGTCAAGACATTATCAATGACCCAACAGAGCAAAGCTGTCTGAGGAAAGTCATCATTACGAGAGCATCTTAATTAGGAACAGCTGAAGGGTTTCTTTACAAAATGTTATGCAACCTTTGGAAAAAATCCAATTATTCAAAAGTATGTGAAAGCTTAGTTTCATTTTAATAAAAGGCGGGGTATGTGATTCTGGAGCAATCCAATACTGTGGCAAATACCACGCTATAGAGTGAACAACGACACAGCAAGTAATGTAACTAACAGCTAAGTTGTGGGTTAGCATACTAACGCTACAGTTGCTGCTGAGAAGCTAACATGCCGAGAGGGTGAGGCGGTTTCCCAGGGCAAGCACACCAACTCCAGACTGCAATACTCACAACTCTCCTGCTCCTATAGATAATGTCACAAGAAGAGCATTTCGTGGCAAACTAGAAAGTAAGCTGAATGTTGGGGCAAGTAATTTAACGTTACCTGACACACAAATCATTGCTGAACAGGTGGAATAATGTTGTGTGAATCGGTCTGAGCCATTTTGCTTTTTTCCCATTTACAGACCCAGGGCTGTGTACAAACACCAGATTTTTTTGCAGCGCACATACAAAACGGGCAGCGAGCGTACCGTGAGGAGATATTTGCTGAATCTGGCAAAAAGATGTGTTTTGGATTAAAATCACTTACCCCACCTTTAATCAAAGAAATTTATTTTGGATTCAAAGCCAATGATGTCCTTCTTGAGTGATAGTTATTAATGTCCTACTTTATAGTGTTAAATAAAAACTTCTCAATTTTAATATATTTGGGGGAAAATGTGTGTGACACTGGCAGGAGAATATTTATTCACCTACAGTAATCAAATTTAAGACAAGTGTGGCACAATTACAGTTTGGGGATTTTTGCCTTTTAAATTAAGTGACTGTTTTGAAGAGCTCACAGCCAGTTTGACCAGTTACATATTCCTATTGCCACTGCTGTCCGTTATATTAGTCAGGATTTTCACTCTTGCTTATTTCCTGATAGTGAAGCCTAATTAAATGTTGCCAAGCGGCAGTGTCAGTACATAACACTGACACACAACAGCTGACTGTGTTGTTGTGTGTGTGTGTCATCTTCTGTCACTTCCCCTAGGTGGTCCAGGTTTACACGACCCATGTGAGAAAGAGCCAACAAACACACTAGCCAACATGACCGACCAGCAGGCTGAGGCTATTACCTACAGCGCCCAGGTATATACACACACACACACACACACACACACACCCACATGCACGTCAGCTAAAAGACACTGTTGTTATCACGCAGCTGTACTTGCCCTGTGGGAATCAGTAAGCAACAAGCCTATTACCAGACAGAAAGACCCCATCACCACTCCAACCACACAATTTGCATGCACACACACACACACACACACACACACACACACACACACACACACACACACACACACACACACACACACACACACACACACACTGGTGGGAGTGTCTCCAGAAAGAGGCGCATGTGCGGTGCTGCATTTTAATGATTGGTGTGGGAAACGACTGCCATTGCAAGCCATAAATCCATCTCTGACACCCTGAGGACAGTGCTGTCATGTCCTTCTTCACACACACCCACACATACATACACACACACTCTCAACTGAGCCGCATGGCTTAGTGAATCCTGCTGTCCATTTCCTTTGAAGGCAGCCTGAACGAGGCTGGAATGTCAATGGGGATAATTGCATTGGAGCAGATACAAGAGCAGATAGGGGAGAGGGAGCGTTTCTGTCAATGAGCTAGACCAAGCCTCATGAATATCTGAGACACTCTACCTCCCTAATAGTTTTATATTAGCACAGCCACCGTGTGCGATTCGGATGATTTTTCTGACTGTGTGTGTGTAGAATGAGCATGTGTACAGTAGGACATACTCGTTAGTATATAGGCTGATGTTAGTGATATTAAGAGGGAAATAAATTAAAAAGCATGTCTACTACGGTTATCGTTTAGTACAGATTTGATGCTGTGTGTTGCAAGATAACTCAAGCTTCACTTCAAATTTAATGAAAACTCTATAACAGAATTTAGGCATGACTGAGGGGAAACAAAGTCACAAACTACAGGGCATTCACGTATAGTAACCATGCTTTCTTTGCATCGGTCTGTGTTGTGACTTTAATTTAAATGAATCAGCTATTGAGTTAAATGTTTCATGATAATGTGTGGAGCTACATTTAGAATTCCCAAATTTCCTCAGCTTGGACTTGAGACGTTTTTTCAACAGGAAGCCTGCGTTGCAAACTGAAAGTGTGGGGTTTTAAAGAAGTGGGCACTCAGGAGGCAGGGAAGGTCTAAGAAAAGTGCCATCAATTTGAATCATGTGAAATGTAAGATTTAACTTAAGTGCAATACGAAATTAGAAGAAAAGCAAATCATTTGACTCTCTTTTCCTGTGTGTGTGTGTGTGTGTGTGTGTGTTCAACAGCGTGCTCTCAGACTCATGGCATTCGGACAGATCTACAAGGTGTTGGAGATGGAGCCCCTTCCCTCAAATAAGCCATCACAGAAATACCCTTGGTCTGATAAAGAAGGTGTGTGTACCTGTCTGCCTGCCCGTTTGCTCTCTCTACCTCAGCCTGTGTGTCACTGTCTGCTGTCCCATTTATTCCCCCTGACACCTGTCTTTCTGTCTCTGCTTGATTATCTGTCTATTCAGGCTTTCAGTGTACCCGTTTTTCACTCTGTCTCTGTTAATCTGTGTGTGGAAGCTTCTCTGTCTATTCGCGCAGGACTTGACCTTTCTGGATGTAATAAGTGTTTTTCTTCACACAAGCACTGACAACACCGTCAGTGTTGCTGTCATGTGAATGAAGCATCACAAATGTATGTTCAAGGATGAGAAATGTTGTTTAATATTTTTCCGGCTTTTTTTGCTGTAAAATTTCCTTTTTCAGCCTTGTACCAAAAACACGGTGGCCTTGGTGAAATGTCGTGAACTTGTGCGTGGTTTATGCAGGATTGTTTCTGCTTTTGTTCACTCAAGAGAAAGTTGGCATGTTTTCAAAGCGACTTTCATGGAGAATTGACTCAAGCCTTTTGAGACCTCATGACGCTGACATGGAAACTTGCCAGAGCATTTACAGATTGAGGTGCATGTAGGAATGGAGCTTATATGTCTTCCTCATTGTTTGACTGTTTGCTGGTCTGCCTGTCTGTTCTATTTATCTTGTCTGTGAGTTTATCCATCTTTATGCTTGTTCTCACATAGGCTATTGCTTGTTTTCATGAGACTTTGCCTCCCTTTCTTTCTAAATATACACAAGTGCCTTTGTGTGGGTTCATATAAACATCTCCTGTTGTAATGATTTATTAGTGACCCTCGTTGTGTTTCTCTCTGGGTCTGTCACTCCTGCTTTCTCTCCAGGCTTAGGTCTGAAGCGGCCATACGAGGATGGACCGATGGATGATAAGGACCTCATCAAGAAGATGAAGAGGAATCTTAGGAAAGGTACAAAAAGGAAGAATAATGGTTGTGGAGTGTTATTATGTGATTAGTAGGGATAAGAATAAATACCACATTACAGAAGTTTTATTTAGCTTTGCATTGTCTTCATTTTTAATCAGACCACTGAAAACAAAGCGGGACAACGCTTAGAGAAGCGTTAGCCTTGCTTCTCTTTCCCTTGTCTCTCTTTTCTTTCTGTCTTCTTCCCTGTCTGCTGCTCTCATCCTCAACCTTCCTTCCATCCCTTGGAGTAAAATCAATAGTATTGATTGCTAACGTTTTCGTAGGCCACCCAACCATTCCTAGCTCTTTCTTCATACAAGCAAAGGATGAACCACGACTAATGGAGACAGAGAGCTGTTTTAGATTCTGACAAACAGGAGGAAAGTGATTGAAAGAGAAAGAAAAAAGAGAGGCACCTTTATTCATCATGAATACAAATGGCAAGAGTGCTGAAATCCTTTAGAAAATATGATTTATTACCTACAGCATCTCTGAATTGGCCCAGTCTGTCCAATTCCAGCTGGATAATTGTTACATCCCTTACAAACCCTTACAAAATTTATCCTAATCTGCTCTACTTTCTACTGAAACCTTTTTTCTTCACTTTTTTTTTTGCATTAGTGCTAGACAGTAAAGCCATAGACTCCAACCAGCCAATGAACGCCCTTATGAGGTTGAACCAGATCCGGCCGGGGCTGCAGTATCGCCTGCTGTCCCAGTCGGGCCCGGTTCACGCTCCTGTCTTCACCATGTCTGTGGATCTGGATGGAACCATTTACGAAGCATCTGGTTCCTCCAAGAAGACCGCCAAACTCCATGTCGCCGTCAAGGTAATAGGGCAAATGGAGGAAAAGTGTGTTGTATGGATGTGCAACTGACAGGAGATCAGATCCTGATCTGAGCCGTGTGTGTGTGTGTGTGTGTGTGTGTGTGTGTGTGTGTGTGTGTGTGGGGATGGAGGTGGACAAATCCATGTAATCCCAAAGTGGTTGTGAACAAAGAGGCTCTCCAGAGCACAGAGCTGGGATAATCCGCTATCCGCTCCATTCCCATAAAAGGCTCTTTCTCCCTGTCTCTCCCCCTTTTCCATTCTCCTCCTCACTCACTTTCTTTCTCTCACACACTCACCTTTTGATCTCCCCTTCTCTTTCTCAGTTTCTCTCCCTCTCCTGTACTCTCTCGCACAGTCTTCGTTCACTGTGGTGACTGGTTCAGAAGCTGTAACACAGTCACACATTTGGTTCAAAAACCTTTCTTCTTTTCTCTCCTGCCTGCATATTGGACTGAATTACACTGCTGCTCTGTGTGCAGTCGAGGATACTAGACCCGTGCGACTCTATGCAGCCAGTGTATTTCAAGGGCTTTATTGTAACCAGTGTGTGAGTTACAAAAGACTTAAGAAAGATTTTTTTGGTTAGAATATAGTTATTTTATTTATGTGTCATCAACATGGGCGCGGGCTATCAGACTGGCACATTTTCCGATGTGGTTGGATTTCCTGTCCATGCTTTTCATGCTTATTGCCCTGGCAGCTCTCTACCTTTATGCCCATTACATTTTGTTCAAAACAGAGTCATAACATAATAGGGACATTATTAAGGACATTTTCTTCAGATTGCAAAATCTATTTCATGTCATTTAGTGTATTATTTCAACAATGTAGCAAATCCATTTTCTGAGGCGAGAAAGCCGTTTACAAACCTCTGTTAGACCGCATTCCAAGGGCACCTCTGGATCCTCTGCCATCCTAATTATAATTTACATACGTAACGTCGAAAGTTTGGGATTTTAGATTTATTCTGTGTTTAGGTTAGTCTTTGGTCTCATCAATTGTTGATTCAAATTATGTTTTTGTGAGACTGTGATAATCAGTAATCATGAAGGCATCATCTAGATTGTGTACATGTACAGTAGTAAGACAATGTTCACACCAAAAATAAATATTTCTATTAAGGTCTGCACAAGAGCAGCAAAATACAGGTTGTTAATATTTTTGCTGCTTTCCTGTTCAGAACTGTCATAATGTTAGCATATGATGTTTATATTTATATCAGTACTATTAAATACTGTACTTCATCATCATCTTCCCTTTCTAGGTTCTGCAGGCGATGGGATACCCTACAGGTTTTGACTCGGACCTGGACCCCATGAGTTCAGACGAGAAGTCGGACGGTGAGGGGAAGAATGAGACGTCATCACACGGCAGCAATAACCCAACACACTCTACGGACAGTTCCAATACACTGGAGGTGGGGACTGAGGAACGTGTACTGACACACAAATGCTTATACCCAGTTCAGATGCTTGAGTGTGGGAAATTTAGAGTGATATAAGTGATTAAAATGTAACAGTCACTCTGATTTAAGGCCATTAAAGGAATCCAAACTTAGTTAAATCTTTACCTTGTTTACAGTCATGCTCTTGCTCATGCACATCATAAAACCCAGGTTTACGGTCCCCTGTGTGCTTTCTAATAAAGCTTTGAAGATGCTTTTAAACTCCTTTAACAATATCCTCACTCCTCAGGTGCGAACTCAGGGTCCAATACTAACGGCAAGTGGGAAGAACCCCGTCATGGAGCTGAACGAAAAGAGACGAGGCCTCAAATACGAACTCATCTCTGAAAGTGGAGGCAGCCACGACAAACGCTTTGTTATGGAGGTGAGAGTGCACGCACAGACTGACTCTGGTAAAAGATTGTAATGTAACTGTAATTTAAATGATTCCCCATGTACACACGCGCGTCCGCTTTAGACAGGGGGAGACACATACAGAGGCTAAGCCACACACACACTCAGACAGGCTGATCACCGGTAGAGTCAATCAGTCAACCTGATTCCAGGAGCAGGCTGTTCTCTGTGGGGTGTGTTGTTTTCCGACATGCCTGGCTGCTCCATCACTCTGCTGATTGATTAGCAGGCCTGCCTGACAGCAGGGCATCACTAAACAAGCTGTCCTGTTCAGCCAGACTCGCTGGCTGAGTTACTGATGACTGATAAACACATGGGTCTTGGGCAACATTACTGTGCGATTCATAGTTTTGTCACAGCTGTAACATAAAATGTGAAACCTCTAATAGAAAGGACTACAGCAATAACTAGAATACAAAGTCTATTGTGAAAAAAAATACTCATTAGTGTTCTCAAATCATAAAACATGTTTTGATTTGTATTTCTCATTTATCCCGTGTGTGAATCTGTGTGTGGGCATGTCAGGTGGAGGTCGATGGGCAGAAGTTTCGTGGGGCAGGCCCCAACAAAAAAGTAGCAAAGGCCAGTGCTGCTCTAGCAGCTCTGGAAAAACTCTTCTCTGGTCCCAACGCAGCTGCAAACAAGAAAAAGAAGATACTGCCTCAGGTAAGAAGACACACTCATACAGTACATGCCAGACACAGAGGGCACTGCTTCATTATGGGACACATGCATTTATACACAACAACACATAATCAAAGTAATCTGTTACAGCTTTAAAGACTACGTTTAAACTAAATTTCTTATCAGTATCACCTCTGTAGAGCTGTGGGACAACTTGTTCACCCATCAGTTATCAATGGCACTGTGTATACCAAGTGACTCATCACATCACCACTGATTAGCCTAACATATTCGTGAACAATGAGGCCCATAATGCATTAGCACACAGTCTTGGATAAGTGTGTGTGTGTTTTAACGCCTCATTTCTGTGCTCCACATTTATGCAGGCACATGTCTGTATATCTGTGGATCTAAACACTGCGTGCATTGCATTGTGAAAACACGCTTGCATGTAATATGTGTGTCTGTGTTCAGACTAAAGGAGCTCTGGCTGCAGCAGCAGCAGCCTCAGCAGTAGCAGCTCAGGTAGCCAGAGGCAGAGGAAGAGCAGCCCTCGCAAGAGGAGCCTTCGTCAGTGCAGCCGCACCTGGATACGTCACACCAGGTTTGTGAGAGGATGTTTGTGTGTGTGGTTTTGTTGTTTTTACTTGGGCAATAAGATTTTTTTTGTGAGTGGGTGATGTGGGTGGTTTTCATTTTATTATTTTTCATGGAAAATTTTACTAGCCTATGAAATGATACAGTTAGACTAGAACAACTGTACCATAATACATACATATGTCAAAAGTAAGATGTATCCTCACATGAGGTTTTACTGAACATGATATTTTTCTGCAGTCACTGGTCCAATTAATATTACTTATTTTACTGTTGACCTTACAGTACTCATATTGTCTTCTGCTTTAGGCTGTTTTCTCAGTTTTCTCAGTTTTCTGTATACAATAACCATACGTTGTTTTTTTTTTACCTGCAGTTGTATTGGAAATATCACAAGCTTTCAGAAATACCCTTCAGTGACAGGACAGTTACATTGATGCATAGCAGTTTGTGAGCTCAATGATCAACAGTGTTAACAGAGAATCATGTAGGAAAAAGGCCCAAAGATTATCTGTGAATGTTTGATCAGAATTGCTGTCAGCTGCAGGATGGCAAAAACACTCATCTGAATTTACTGAAGATGTTGGAAAGTGCAGGCTGGAATTAAACAAGTGCGCAACTGAATTCAACCCTGTAACCTCTTCCCCAGCAGGCTTTGGGACACCGTATGGCTACAACCCAGCTGCGGCAGCTGCTCCTGCATACGGTACGTGCTTCTTGTTTGTTCTTCCCTTCTTCCACCTTCTCTCCTCTCTTAACCATACACTTCCCTAACAACATACAGGACCATCAGTGGGTAAATTAATCACTTTTCCGTAGGTAGTAGTTATGTATCCAACCCTCTCTCCTCCACCTCCTTTTGCTTCAATTTCTCCCCTTTTCTAAAAATTACTTTAAAACCCAATCCCATTCTTATCCAAGTTTTAGGGTTTGCCACTGAATTTTAGTCACAATTAAAAAGCTTAAACCTCTTTTTTGTGTGCTTTAAGCAAATCTGTCTGTACTTTGGCTAACTGTCCGCTCACCACTTACTCTGCTTGTTGCCACTTGCTCCCTCATCTCTTATGGTTGGACTGCTACTCTGTCCGTAAAGAGCTGACACACACCCATTTCCACCTGCAGTCCTAACATAGCCATCTCTAACTAACTACACAAGCTCTTCTGGACTTATATCAACACACTGCCTTTGCTGCCGTCATCTTCATATCTGTTCAGATTAGCAGGGCGCATAGTGCGAGTTCCTCACTTTACCCGCTGTTATTTAAGACAGGGTGGCAGGACAGTGTTGCCCCTGCAGTGCTGCTCCTGTCAGGTTACTGCTGCTAAGGGGTTTAATGTCCTCACTGCTGAAAGTGGTCATTGGGCTCTCTCTCACACACAGGAATTATAGAAGTTACTAGGCTAAAATGTATAGTACCTGACCTTTAACACCAAAGGTATCCATGCGTCCCTCTGTCACACACAATCATATTTACCTTAACAGACTCAGCCTTGTGTAGTGTGTGCACACATGTAGCGTTGGGAGGCCTCTGTCCATCCAACAGCTTGGAGTTGAATGGGTCTTATGTGCTAGGAGCAACTGGGCCTGGGCCCCAGGCAGACGATTAGTACCCCCCTGAGATCCCAACAGCCCTGAATATGAAGTGCGCCTTAGTTTTCCTGTTTATGGTGGAGCTGGGGATCTCCATTTGTTTTGGGGTGTTTCAATTCAGTCCCTGGCATCCACACGCTTGTTATTGGGATTGCCGCGCTTAATGAAATGCTCAGAATTCAGTGGTAGTTTCTGTTTACATATAACTTGCAGAATTCAGTGACTATTCATAAAGTTATTAAATTGCCATGGCATTCAAAATATTTGATAAGGCATACAGTAGGCAGCCTCTTTCCTGGCGAATGGTAAATAAATAGGCCATTAAATGTCCTGTGTCTTCTGGGGGGGCATAAATTATTGTGCACTGTGTGCAGCTCTGCCCCATTACTCTACAGCAAATACATACAGTACATGTCACGTATCTCCGTGGGTGAACGTTGTGAGTTCAGCTGACCCTGAGCTATAACCTGAGCTGTAACCTCCCACGAGTAGGTAGGAGGTCAGGTTCAATTCATGTTATTTGGAAAATAAAAGATCGACATGAACACTAGAATTATACTCACAGGTTCTGAAATGATTCATCCTCTGAATTTGCTTCAGCACAGCGTGTGTATGTTGAGGCCTTGCTGCAGAGGTTGTTGTCTTTGTTAAGCTTGGCTTCTTCCTCAGTGGTTCCCAACATGTGGCCAGCAGGAAATTTGAGGCCAAACACAAATATATACAAAATATCAGGTACACTTGTTGTCAAGGTGGCTTAAAGCTGGTGTAGGACATTTATTTCAGAAGCATTTTTGTTATCCATCCATCTATCCATCCATCCATCGTCAACCACTTAATCTGGAAACAGGGTTGTGAGGGCATTTTTGTTCTATATCTTGAAATTCTTTTATTTTACCTCCTGAGAGTAATCAATAAATCAAATGCTCTGACACAAGAATGAAAAACAAATCCGGTATCTGTGGCTGTTACGGGACTGAAGTAAGCATGGCTGATCCGTGCACTCACTGCTCATGAAAAGGTGTTTTGGGGGAGTGGTTTTCGGCGGGAGGCCTGTAGGGAGGAGGTGGGATTTTTCCTTAAAAAATGTAGCTGTTTCTTGCTAGTTCTCCAACGTTGCCTACCCCAGCTTTAAGGTGGAAATCAAATTCCTTTTACATCCAGTTGACTTATGATGCTGAGCTGCAGAAGACGAGAAGAATAAAAATGAGAGACAGATTGTGGGGCTGCAAGTCAGGAAGGAGATTCCTTGTGTTTTACACTTGACATTGTAAATATTAAATCCACTATTACTGACGTTTACTTGCCAAAATAAGAGAAAAAAGTGTCCAAATTGGTTTAAGAAAATTGGTGGTTGGCCCCATTCAGGCTTACATTTCAATCAGAAGGCAGAAAAAAGGCACATGAAAACATTGGGAACTACTACTTTATCTTTTGGACAACATTTCATTCTGTTTCCTGCTCTTCCTCTGCACTCTGGCACCCGTCGCTGCTTTGGGCTTTCTTGTTGGCAAATGCATTCTAGAAAACTGCTGGGCTCACTAGGACACTGGGTGGAGCGCAGAATATTACATCATTATATCATAAAAATAAACCAGATTTATATATAAACAGCAAAATCACAATACTTCTGTTTATGTCCATTTTTGTTGTTGTTTTTATTTTACATTTGCTTTGGCTATGTAAATGTCTGTTTCCCATGCCGATAAAACCCCTCTGAATTGAATTAAATGCAGGGCATTATATTGTACTGTAAAACACAGAACATTAGATCATAGAACACAGAACATTAGATATTAGAGCATAGACATTATTCCAGAAGCTCATTATTCCAGAACAGTACAAACAACAACTTCTCCTCAAGCGTCTCCTTGTTAGTATTATTCTACTTGTGGTTGTTCTACCATGCGTCCTAAACTTGTAGTTTTGGCCATCATTCCTCTCTGTAATGATAACATTGTACTCACCCGGTTAATTGCTGAGATCTGGCAGTTCAATTCTTTATCGTCCCACCAGGGGAAATTTGATTTGCAATAGGGTTAAAACAAACATACATGAGATGTGAACAACGATAAGAATAGCCGTTACCATATATAACATCTATTTGTTCATCTAAAAGTACTCAAAAAGTTGAAATGGTTGCCTCAACACTGTAGGATGCTTCTGAGCAGCAGCTGAAGCTCAGTGCAAATTTAGGCCATTAATTGCTGTGGGTGCAAAGGAAAATTTGTATCTGTTAGTTTTTATTTTGGGTAATCTGTATCTTCAGAACAAGAACAAATTCCTCCAAAAGAGGGTGGTCAGAGCTGGCTGTGACAGTCCAAGCCTAACGTATAACCTGTCTTTTGTAGATGTCTGCCAAGGAAAGCTGTTGAGTGCCAATTATTTTGCTGGCTACCATAGCAATGTTAGACAATGGCAATGTATTAACGTCACTTAAATAAACAAAACCCCAGATTAGTCACATTTATGTGAATAGTGGGATTGTTACTGACTTAGTTTTGCCTCCAAAGAAGTGGTACATAACCTGGCTAAATGGCTTGAGTTCAACCTGCTTGTGTGTTTGTTGTAGCGATATCACCCATCATGTTGCCAGATCTCAGCAGTTAACTTGATGAGAACAGTGTTTTCACAATGGATGTGAAAGCTTGCTATGACTAGAGACCCAAGTTGCAATCAACCTAAATGAATCTTAACTAACTCTTCAGCCATTTATTTTCATGTCTTTAATTATCGATTCCTCTAACCCCTTCAGGAGCCTTGACTGTGTGGTGCGAGAGGTGTTTGCTGGGCCTAGATGTAGCGTAGTGTGAAGTGTAGTGAGGATAGAAAATCTTTAATTTTAATTTTTTGCCCTGGACTCATGCAGAGCTGTGCTCTTCTCATGTCTCCCCTCTAGGTTTGCCCAAGAGAATGCTTCTGTTGCCTGTCATGAAAGTGCCCGCCTACCCCGTCTCCCACTACCACTTCTTTTAGCACAGGAGAAATACCTACCAAACGCTTTTATATACATACCAAACGCTTTTTCCAAAACGTACAGTCTTTTTCTAGAAGGGAATCTCGGTCTGTTATGTTTTTCTACAATATCAATGACGGTGGAGAGGATTAAGGACTTGAGCTGAAGATTTGTTAAAGTGCTTTTTGTTTTGTTTTGTTTTCTTACTGTTTCCAAAAAAAACAAAAAACGTTTATGAATATGAAAAGATGCTGCAGGTTTAAGTTCTTACGGGATAAACAAAAACTTGAAGGATTTGTACTGTGGATTGTGACCTCATTCTCTGAGTCTATATCAGCCTTTTGTTGTTGTGTTTATTCTTTGTAGGACGAGGATTGCCTTTGCAATATGATACACACAATACACACATTCTCTGTAAAAAAGGAAATTATAATGTGAGCTGTGTGACGGATGTATAGGAATAAATAAATAATAATGTTAAAAAATTAATAAAGTTTATCTCCTATAAAAGCTTAAACACTGCCTGGTGTATATCTGGTTTAAAGGCTTTCAGCTGGTAACTTGATGCACATTTTAGAGCAGTTATGTGTCTGATTTACCCATTTATTCACCATTCAACTTGGAAATGATACTGTGACCTAAACTTACATTTAGCTTTAATATTCCACCCTCATACATGCACACAGATTGAATTCCAATCTTTCCACGTACCTCAGTGCGTCTCGTTACATCCTTTTGACCCTCGGCTTATAGATATTCAGAGAGAAAGGCAAGAAGACAAAGGATGAATTTAGAAAGCTCTTGTCAGATCCTGCATCTTGCATTCAGCTGCACGATCTCATTACCTGACGTGGATTAATATTTGGCAGGGTTCCCACAGCTATCAGAGCTATCACCTGAAGTATAAGGAAAAGCTTTTATACATACAGTAGCTTTTATACCTTTTTGCAGCAGCTATTTTGGAGCCCTGTACATTGTAGCTTCAGTTGGCATAAAATAAAACACATTACTTCAACATAGGCTAAACCTAAATCCCCATCTTATTCTTATTTGGCTTCACAGACGTCAATGTCACAGAGCTTTTAACATGTCAACCCCAAACATTAACCGTGGTGCACATAATTGTCAGTTAAAAGCAGCAATACTCATGAATTGAAATCTCACTGTCACTGTGTTGTTATTGTTTCATTATTTCAGTGTCATTGCTGTATTTGTTGTTTTTGCATGTTTTTGCCTTCAAACAAGGATCAGCAGCAACTGAGCCAGTGAAACTTGGGCCCAAAGCTATCCCTATAAACTCAGTCTGTGTTTCCAATAAAGATTTAAAGATCTGCCGTTAAGAGTGACCTAAGCTCACAGGTATTATAAATAAAAGACTAAGAGGAACGTGGCAAAAAAAAGAGAGATTCTCCACTTTATTCCATCAACATACTAATCAAAGGTCAGTGACAGTCAACACAGAGTTATGCTGGCCCTTCACCACGTCTTGATCATCCAGCCAGCGAGAGATAACCCCCTGACGACGTCTCCATGGTTACAGCAATGAGGCACAGCCATTGGATGAGAGGACCCTATATCTTGTCCAATGGTTGGTTGAGATCCATTGAGTTATTGTGAAACCTTTCAAATGATATTTGTTTGACATCACCAAAGCTTTACTCTCACATGACTGAAGATTAATTCCAGTTGTTGCATTCTGTTTATATTTTCTGTTTTTCTACTTTTCAAGGTTGAATTAATTTTTAGTGCACAAAGAGCTCAAACCCCGGAGAGAGTGTGTTCTTTCAAAACTGCCTTACGAGTGTCTGAATCTCAGTCTTAACATGGTTGCTGCTAGCCTCCTCCTACCACTGCACAAAATCTTTGATTTCATGTTTTTGCTTTTTATTCTGCTCCTACTGTATGTTCATGGCTGGAATAGCTCTAAAATATTAAATAGTTCAGCATTTTGAGAAATAAGCTTTCTCGCTTTCTTGCTGAGTGTTAGACGAGGAGATTGATACCACATTTGTACGTTAAATGTGAAGCTACAGTCGGTTAGCGTAGCTTAGCATAAAAGCCAGGAAACGGGGGAGCAGCTAGCCTGTCTCTGTCAACGTTACATCTCGCGGACAGTGCAGAGAAGTGCTGATAGGAGGATTTTTTTAAACATTTTTTTACCTTTGGACAGAGCCAGTTTTTATGTTAAGCTACACTGACAGTCTCGTGGCTCCAGCTTCATATTTAATGACAGATATGAGACTTATCAATCTTGTCATGTCTATTGAATTTCATCCATCCGTTTTCTGCCACTTATCCAGAGCCGACTCAGCAAAGTTTTCCAGCTCTTCCTGGGGGATTCCGAGGCGTTCCCAAGCCATATGTGATAAATAATCCCCCCTAAATTGGCTGCTTGTGTCCGCAACCTGATTCTTTTGTTCACTACGCAAAACTCACGAACATAGGGGAGGGTTGGAACAAAGATTAATGTAACTTGAAAGCTTTGCCATTTGACTCAGGTGTTCAGTACAACACCTGCATTATTACTGACACCACACCAATCAGCCTGTCGCTCTCATGCTCCATTTTACCCTTAAACCCTTTTTTAAAATGGCAGAAACCTCAGGAAGAACAACAATGGAGGGGGCCCTTTTCCAGGACGGACAGACCTGTAATAGCTGTCTCGTGAAGAGAATAAGCCAAAATAGCAATGTTACAATAGCCTATGGAAAGTCTGGATGATAATATTATGTTTTCATTCAACTCTCGGTAAGAAAGCAAATAATAGCATATAGTTTATGTATTAATGCCACCCAGGTAATAGTACCTCAAGGATTTTTTCATCCTTCAAGTGGCTGAAACCTTGTCCTAAAAAACATTAGTGGATTTCTTTGGCCCTATGGAATTGTCACTCTATCTTAGAGACGCATTAAATATTTGTCAAAAAACTGAAGAAAGTTGAATGTATAGAAGCATCACATTGATTTTTCGATACTTTTAGTAATTAGTCCTGCTCTCTTTGTCTCTCTTCTCTCTGCAGGTGGTCTTTTCATTGACAATCCTTTCTACCAGCCGCGGACCATCGCTCCTTTTATCATTCATCTGGGTCCCCAGGATCTCTTCTCTGACTTCTAGAGGCAGCAGGCAGCAGGCAGCAGGTCGTTGGATGGGCTCTTCACACTTACCTGTCTGTACACACAGGACACACCTGTTTTTCTGTCCGTCTAAAGCGGGCTGCCTTTCTATCCAGGTGATGGACTCACAGATCCAAAACTGAAAAACTCTCTGCAGATCTGACCTGCTGACACGAGAGGCTCAAAGTCTCTCTCTCTCTCTCTCTCTCTCTCTCTCTCTCTCTCTCTCTCTCTCTCTCTCTCTCTCTCTCTCTCTCTCTCTCTCTCTCTCTCTCTCTCTCTCTCTCTCTCTCTCTCTCTCTCTCTCTCTGTGTGTGTGTGTTTTCTCTACTCTCTGCCCAGATTATCACTTCAGAGGAGAGTAACTTTACACGAAGCAATACTCGGATTTTACGAGAAACGCTCAGCTGCGACTGCGAGAGGCTGAGCTAAACTTTGGTCTTTCTTATAGCAATACACATGAACTCCTCTCTTTGAGCTTACTTACTTGAGAAGATGTGAATGTCCGATGGAGTTTTACCCAACACAGCATTGCAATAGCTCATTTTGATTGTATATTCATATTGTATGTGTGTGTGTACGTGTGGCTATAACATGACTATATACACATATATGTATGGTCTATGTTTCTATAACGATGTGTTGACAATAATATTACTATATGATGATGTATTTATGTAAATATTCTATAAAATATAACTATTGTTGGTATAAATTATTTTAGAATTATAAAGTGAAATGTACTCTGTAATATCACAGTATAGCTTTCTTCCAATTTTATATACACTAAGCAATTGAAGCTAGTTCTAGGAGATGTAATATTATCTTTGGTATTCCTATTAACCTGTGATGTTAGAATTATAATGCTTCCTTCCTTCTTTCCTTCCTTCCTTCCTCTCTTTCCTTCAATCGTTTCCTCTATCTTTGATGTCTTTCTGAGCCTTTCTGAGCACGCTCTCTGCTGCCCGAGGTTTGTTTACGTGGCCCGGACCAGAGGTGCCCACTACTGAACACACTCATAACCTAATCACACCTGTATGCGCGCGCACACACACACACACACACATATATATATATATATATATATATATATATATATATATATACTCATACACACTACTCCTGCCAGAAAGCACATTTTCTATAGTCTCACTGCTGGCAGGGAATACTGTTGTTACAAATACAGTACTGTATGTTGTGTATACTCTGAAGTACGCACTCCTCCCTCCACTATCCATACATGTTAACGTACACACCCATCAACAATCGTCCGCTCTGTCCCGCTCGCTTTAGGGACCAAAAGCACAGCTCACTCACACCCATTTCGACTCCTCCTTTCTGCAAACACACACATTAACACTCCTTCCCTCTAACCTCCTTTAGCAATCCTCTACTGTGGCAGAAACATCTTTGTCAAAGGGCCTTGTTACACACTGGGAAAAACACAGCACAAACGGTTGGCTAACTAATTAAAGGTATAGCCGTGTGAAAATCTTAAGAAGTGAGACCTTGAATTGTACACATTTGAGGAAGCAAAATTAGCTTTTAACCTTTTAATGTAGAAATTAGCATTTCTGCATTTTTTAAGGCACTTCTGCACTGGCCTCAGCTGTCAGCCAGCTGGTCATAAGGTCTACAGTTCACCTCTTACTGAACTCCTGAGATAATAGTAGTAGAAGAAAGGAGTTTTGTTTTTGTCTTAAATTACATGTGTATTACTTATTAGTAGTTAACTATTTAGTGATTGTGTTGTGCATATTACATTTAAGTAGATAGTCTAGACTGAGAGCAGAGATATTCCATTAATATAAAGTGCTTTATTTACATCGTATATTTGGATCTAATTTTGGCTATTGTTGGAACCGGACAGGTGTCACAACACTGTACACAGTAAGTTGGCAATCACACTCAGCATTGTGTGGGGTTTCTCCAACTTTCTATAGTGCATACAGGCTTCTGAAAGCTCTTCATCAGTTATTTATTTGTTTTTTAGCCTTTAATAGAGATGAGGTATCAGTCAGCAGAGGTAAAATCAAACAGAATGTGCATCAAAACGGCTTTGATTCTCCTCACGCTCGCCTTGATCTGGGCAGCAGTTTGATCTCCTGTGTTTGTGCCGGCTTTGATTCAACAAAAACTGCGTCTGAGAAAGACACAATCTCACTAATGCCCCAGAGCCCATTTTTCAAAACAATTTGTCAAATTTGAGTTGGATTTTGTGACACCACTGAGCAGACAGTAAAGAGGATTTGGCAATTTTAAGTTTAACTGGGGCCCTGCGATGGACTGGCAACCTGTCCAGGGTGTACTCTGCCTTTCGCCTGATGTCAGCTGGGATTGGCTCCAGCCCCCCGCGACCCTGTACGCAGGATAAGCGGTTGACGATGGATGGATGGATGGATGGAGGTATTTCATCTGCTAATCTTTGTTTTTTATATAATGCCATTTCAGGCTGGGATCTACAGTAGAGAACAGAGTAAATTAGTGCCAGGACCATCTTACTTCTGTGACGTGCAGCAGCATTAAGATACTAAGATGTCTTGTAGAAACTAGATCCTGCTTCTTAAAAAAAAAATCACCTCCTGTATAATATCACGTTAGTCATGTTTAGTGACTATGGATCTTTTTGTGGGTTTTGCTGCATAGCTATTCTAAGCTTTTTACTGTGGTTTCTCCATCAATTCTCAGAGCTCATCTAGTCGTCTCTAAAAGTCTGTGCACTGCTTTACCCTGACTTTTCAGTTGTGGAATTCAGGTGGAGGTGAATAACTTGGGAGCCTGACTGTGGGGAAACAGACCCTCTCTATTAGCTAAGATTTTTTCCTAATTTCCCCTCTGCCCTCTCTCTCTCTCTCTCTCTCTCTCTCTCTCTCTCTCTCTCTCTCTCTCTCTCTCTCTCTCTCTCTCTCTCGCCCCCGTCCTCTCTGTCCAGATGGCCCACATTAATATGGCAATAAGGCAGACAGTCATACCTCAGTGAGCAACCTTTTCATTTCCCCTCGGACTGAACAGATACGCAGGAGGAGTCACCCTGACTACTGACCCTGTCCTCTTGGTCTGCTGGCTGGACGACAGCGTTCAGAGCAAGGGTGGCAGAGCTCAGGGAAACACGGTCTGTCTAAAATGGGCACAGGCGGTCTGGGACTGTACAGTCTGGGGAGTCGTTGCCTCCTGGTTAGGCAGACGTCCCACGTGTGTTTCTTTTTCAGGTTTACAGTGAAATGTTTGGAACTCTCTGAAAGCCCCATGTTTCTTATAAATGTAACCACAAGATGAGATTTAAAAGAGGAATCAAGCTGAGGTTTTATTTAAAAACATATACTCCTAAGTATCCAAATTGTTTGTGGTCTAATAGTGATTATGCATGGAAACGAAAAAATATCCAAATTTCTTGTTCCTTAAAAATATGTATTTAGTGACGATTTACAGAAAGAAACAAAGAGAAGAATCAAACTAATGCTGTTCCTGTCACTCTCCATATAAAAAAGCTTTATTCAGAACATGGAGAAATAAAAAGGGAGCAGTTGTTTCCCATTCTACTGCACCATGAGGAAGATGACAATACCACCACACACAAATGTCAAATAGAAAACACTCCTCTGGTGTGTTTTTCCCCCTTAAGAAACACTCTCGGTAGCCATGTTTGAAGGCTTGGACATAATGTCCACGTGGATAACTTTTCTAAAGAGTTATGGTTGTTTGTGCTGGACTGGGGTCCCATTGAGTTTTCTGATGGATGTTCTTCCTGCTCCAGTGTTCCCCAGAAATGTCTCCAAGACATCACAAACAAGAAAACGGTGGCAGCCATTGTAAACACACACACCCTCCCTGCACAAACGCTGCCTCTTGATGGGCATACAAAAGCTACACCTGTAAATCTAAGAAGCACAAAACACACACGAGCAATACACCCACACTTTGTTCTCAGGGCCACCTGCCACACACACGTGTATGCAAATGGACAAACACACACACGCAAACACACGTAATCATATATGTAAATATTTCAGCATTCACCAACAACAACAGCAGAGCACATTGAGACAGCATTGCATTCTTTTTTGTTTGATTTGTATAATACACATGAGATTGTACTGTAGTGAGAGAGACACGAGTGGTTAGGCCTTGTTTGTACTTTAGGATTTGAGCCATGTATAGCTGAGAAAATGCATCCCAATCTCTCCCCCATGTGTTTGCTTGGTGCTTTAAGCTTTCTGTAGCACTGTATATAATGGATTTTATTTTTAAGTTTGCTTTTTGGTCAAACAGCAGTAATCTGAACAACTCGGGCTTTGCTGTCAGGAGGAAAGAGGGAGGAGTGCTGTCATCAGAAACTTTTTTGGCACCAAATGCAGGAGCTTTGCGCATTTTAGATGCTGCAATATGCTCAATAGTTAAAGGGTTCTGAGTGCTTTCGTTGCCAGGCAACGTCAGGTTTTTAGACTTTTTATTTGGAGACCGTTCGAGCCCAGTTTCCCTAAGGCACCTCTTCATCCCCCTGCCTGGTCAAAGGTCAAAAAGGAAAGCGATGACACAGTGATGCTTTTGGGAACCGGGCTTATCCAGACACCAAAGACTCTCAGGCCTTTGTTGCACAAATCTGATCATCCAGGTAGTCTCAGAAGTGAGAAACCATACAGTTTGTGATTTGATATTCACCGTCTAGACAGTTATGAAATGTCAGGTGAAACCTCTCCTGAGTGTAAATCCAGCCTCTGAAGGAAAACTGTCTTGCTCATTCTTGCATTAGCACAGAAAGTTGCGGTTTAAGTCTGGGAGTCGTGCGAAATATGTCTGGAAGCAGAGCCGTAGAGAGTCTGCTCGCGAGTCGTCCTGAGCTCTGCAGAGCAGCAGAAATGGATCCGGGTTCACATTTCGACTGCCGAGGCAAAGTTAACCAGATTAACTTCCGATCGGATCATTTTCTTCGGGTATGTGTGCACATGTGTGTCGTGGAGGAAATGTGTGCATCTGTGTGTTTGCCTGGCAAGCATATAAATTGGAGGGTGATGGGAAGCTGTTTCACATGCATATGCACGCACGCACACACACGATATTGCAGTCACATTGAGCATGTTGTTGCATAGTTCCTGGTCTTGGTCCACTGACTGTTTAAGTCCAATATCCTCCTGATAAATGATCAAAGCATTTTGGTTGGGAATGTACACTGTTGTTATAGTAATTGTAGAGTAGAATGTATTTACTCATAGAAAGAGTAAACTTGCTTTTTTGTAGAGAAGCATATATACAGAATATATATGGATACATACATATATATACATCTATATATCTTTTGAGCTACTTGTGTGTGAGAGTTGTTTTGGGTGCATCCACCCTGTTAAAATTCATATTTTTTCCCCTTTTTCACTTTTAATTTATAATGTTTCTGAAAAAAGTAGCGTCTTATGAGTGATGAGTGTTTACTTTTTCCTGTGAATATAATTTTTTTTTTTTTTTTTGACAAAAAGGGGATTAAAAGGAAACTGGTTTATGATGCTGCCTATGAAACTATGAAGTTGTATCTGTCTACAGAATCTGCTTGATCCTTGAAATTACAAAGCAAGATTTTGTGAAATGTAATGATGACTTCATCCTCAGTGCTGAACTGAGGCCAATAATCGTGAAATGAATCGTTTTGATTAGTAGCAACATTCACAGCAGTGATCTGTGGTTGTCACTGTTTTTGACATAATCTATGCTTGACGAACTGAAAATAAATTGGAAAA